TCATTGGGAGGGGGTGTTTACAGATGCAAGCATGTCACATAGGCACTGATAGGGAAACGAAATTAATCACACTAATCTCTCCAAATAGTTGCTACTACTCTTGATCCATGTATATTGCACTCCAAAAAAGGAGCTAACTAGGAGGTAAACATCTAAACAAAGTTTATCACCATCAAGAAATCAAGTGCTTCAGACAAGTATCACCCTTTAAGAGAACAAAATCACGGTCTTGAGATCATAAAAATTTCAGAAATTCAGTGCAGTAAACCTCTATACTACCATAATGTATCTTCAATCTAATTTTATTCAAAAGTTGGCTCATAGCCAAACCTGATTCCTGACCATATACATCATAGCCAAACCTGAATCTTGAATATGTACCTCTCAAGGATAATTGTTTCAGGTCATCCAGTATCAAATAGTTGTATGGACTCAAAGAACCGAAACAAGAATGGCATAGATCTATATGCATTACATCAAAACTATGCAAAGGGCCGACCACTTGGAAATGCCTCACATGGAAGTATTAAGCAAATGAAGACAAAGAGGGTCCAAACAGAAAAACCACAACATCAGCCTTGTAATATATCAAAGAAAAGAGCAAATTAAAAACAACAGCAACATCCATCCATAGAGAAGCCATGAAATCATATGATGGTAAAATAACTATGGCCATCACACCATGCAAACTGACAAATTAAAGATCAGAAGCTCCACAAAACAATTCATAAAAATCTCTAAATTGTTTACTGGTTTTATAACATCTGAATCAGATATTCTGCAGCTGGAAGAAACCATAAAACAATATGTTTCCATCAGAAACATTAGAATATTTCTGCCCATCCAATACTCAACCTAAGGTGAATAAAATGTAGGTTTTTAATTTACCAGATAAGATATGAACATCCTAAAGATCTAAACCAAGTAAACTCTATCAGACAGGAATAGAAAATTCTCTCCTGAATTCATGAAAATCATTGTCATGTGCCACTAGTCAAAGCATCATCAACTTCAAGCAACCCCGTGAATAGAGGTTTCAGGTAATTAGTTATAGGAAATAGAATGCACATGCTCCAATGCATAGAATGTAGTTGTTGAAAATGATAATGGCTTCCTTCGACCTTTACAGTAAACAAAATTCAGTGGAGCAACCCATAAGTCACTTCATTAAGCCGCATCATATACATTTTCACTAATTGATACACAAAGGCTCTAGGAACCCTAATCAACTCATGTTGATCACAGATAATGTGTCATAAGAGATTAACACCATATTCCAGTCAAATACAGAAATGATTGATGCTGAGAAAAAGTATTTGGATCAAAGTATGAAAAATGAGGTAAAGAAGAAATGGTCACCTTTTGCTTCATTTTAAACTCTTCCCATGTGACTGTGTGAGAGGTGCTCAAGTTAGCCAAACGAGCAGCATGCCACTCTGGTGTATGAAATGAACCATCCACCTGCGACTGTCCTCATCAATAAAAGTATAGGAAACAAGATAGCCTACAATGCTTATTGTAAATAAGCGTTCAATGATACGCACACAACACAGTCTTAATGCTTACTTTACACACAGTACAACTTCAATATTGAAGTACTTAATCTAGGGTATAAAGGATCCATGTTTGATAATCCTAGTTATGATTTTCTAACCTAACATAGAAACCTGCAATGAAATAGCATTTTCACATAAAAGTAAGGTGCAATGTAGAACATACTCTCCAATTACTGCCCACGCATATTACAAAACAGAATTCCACTCACCCATAATACAATAGGAAATTAGATGACTTTGTTCATTTCATCCACATCCCTTAAACCATGAAAAGGCAATATATTATGCTGGCACACCACCTAGGGATAGGAGCATATGACAATAGACAAAGCTCACTCTTTAAAAGTGTTGCTTGGACAGATTAATACTATATGATACAATGATACATATTCGTCATTAAGTTAAGAAAAAAGTTTATACTCTTTGTAGACAATCTCTTTTGGGTTAAGATTATATGTCCCATTTTGCGTCTCATATAGTGTGATTGTGTGAGTTGCATCCCACTTCTACCAATTCATAGTTAGTTACTTATTTAGCGTTATTGGTAAATGTAGGCTTTGTTCTTTTCACGTTATTCTTTTTACTTGCTACTTATTCATGTTGAGATCAAACCAAATGATAATAGACCAGACTAGAGAAATTCAAACCAGACCAAACCAGACCAAACGAAAATTATAAAGATACATTATTCAAAGCAAGACCTTAAAGGTTTAGGCCAGACCAAAACACACCAAACCCTAAAAAATTCAAATAAAAAACTGTGGGACATAGATTATGTAGCAGAATCAGAACTAATGGGACATAAAAGAAGACATAAGATACATAGGTCCCTAATGATCACTTTCAGAGCATCAATTAACTACTTTATTAGCCAAAGCAGCTATAAACTACACAACTTATCACTTGAGGAACGACGGTCATCATAAGTGCAGCTCGCTTATTAGGATGCAAGTAGAAGAGAAAAATATAACAGTGATCATCAGAGTATGATAACACATGAAATTTCAACAACTTTGGCATACTTAGAAAACAAAATGCTGGTAAAATTGAGTAAATGAGCTTATCTGACATGAGAAGGGAGAAATATCCAGTCAAAAATTGATGCCCACTTGGTAATGCTAATGTCATTATAAATCCACACACTTCTGCTACCATAAAGGCAACACATTTACTGTTATTTGACATTTCTACAACAACCACACCACAAAATTAAGACAATTTATAGCAAAGTAACACATAATCAACCCAAAACAATTTAAAATCCAGCTCACTCAATATGAAAATACCAATTGAATTACCCAATTAATATTCTAATTACAAGGAATAAGAAGATCAACCAAATTGATAATTAGGTTGAAGGAAAATAGCAAGGAAGGGTACAAACCAATCCATCTTCAACCTCGTCTTGAGCACCACTGCTGGACCCCACCCTGGATCTTTGCATAGCTTTGTAAGCTTGATTTTTACCCATTTTGGGAAATACCCAGATGAAAATTTAAGGTGGGGGGAAGAAATAATGATGAAAGCAGGGAAATTTGAGGGGAAAACTAAAAACCCAGATGAGGAAAATCGTAGAAATTGAAGATTATGAGCTTGATGGGAGTTTTGAAATCTCAACGATCAATTGAAATTTGCAGAAGATGTAAAGGGGTGAATTTGGTTGGAGCTAGGAGTAGTAGAGCAGGTTAATGGATGCGACTTGCGAGGGAAGAGAGAGAGACGAAGATCAGAGAGCCAACGGATGGATGGGAGGGTCAGGACTGACAAAGGACAAAATTGAGAATGTACTAGCCTATAGGTGCCCTCGTGTTTATTTTACATTCGGGCGTAAAGTTTAACTTACGAATAGACATACTACGTATTAATATACTATGAAAGTAAACCAATCTAAGTTTTGTTTAATTAAAAATGAAAATTGTTAATTTCAACCTTGAGGTTAGGGTTTAATTCCACTAGAGACACTTTGTGGGTGAAGATCTCTTATCTTTCTCCTCACTTTCAAAGTTTGTAAATTTTTACTTCCTTCCTTTAATAACATTGTAATTTGCAATTATATGTTAAATCCACAACTCAACTTTCTCCTAATTAAATTTCATTTTTCACATTGTCATTCATTAGATTTTGATATTTCAAAGCAAAAGAGAGCATGAAATATGTCATAGCAGAAGCTATTTTGTGGGATACTGCGTCCAAGCTCAACAACACCAAGCTTTTCATAGAAGAAACTACAACTCTTCACATAAGCATTATTGTCTCTTGAGCACGAGATTATAAACAATCATATTGAAGGCAATGATCTCTCACTAAAATACATTTGGTCAGCCCCATGGCATATTGAGCATATCATAGATCTTTGTTAAATTCTCAACAAATTCGACAATTGGAGGCTTGGAACATTCAACATTTCTACGAGGAAATCCAAGTTGATCTCGGTGATAAACTTGGATAATTTATCAAATGGCATTTTTGTAATAAAAATGTCTTGGGATTTGCAAAAGTACAATAAACAACTATTTTATCAGTCCAAGTGGGGTCACCTGGCATGTAAAAGCAAAGTAACGGTAAAACAAACAAATCTCAACGTTAACTCCTACTTCACAGCCTTTAACTCAAGGTGAATTAACTAGCCATAAAAAAATAAGACTAAAATGACGAACAAGCATACAGTAAACTGGGATTGCGGTGGTGACTGGTCGGTTTCGATCCACGTGTGAATAACGATTGTGGTAGTGGCTAGATCAGGTCGGGATACGGTGATTTCGTAGCCATCAGCGAAAGTTTGTGTTCATATAGTTCTTGCTTGACTAGATCGAAAGCTCATCTTTAATGGTGAATCAATGAAGAAGGGAAATATCAATTACCCTTTAGGGTTAATCCTACCCTAAATTTCTCTATATTTTGTACGATTTTCGTTTGATTTGGCGGTGGAGCCGCCGTTAATATCAATGTTGGTGTTAGTGTAAGGAGGAAGATAAAGATGGTGGTCTTGGTGGATTAAATTAATCAAAAGCTCATGAGAGTGGGTTTGTAAAGCAAAGTGGTGCTAGATCTGACCATTTCTGGAGGCATTAAACCTCACAAGTTCAGTAATGGAGTTTTTGCTAAATTTGCAGAGTGGTGTTATTCCCAATCCCAAAAGTGAAACCACTTAACAATGGTTAACACTTCACCCTGCAATGTTTGCAAATGGGTTGAAAGGAGTCAACTCCACGTGATAAACAAATGACCTTCAAACCCCTAACTAAAGACGCGAAAAGACAATTATTCCCCGTGATAAACGCTCCAGATTTATCACCGAGGTCAACCTGGGCTAGCTCCATATATACCAAGAGGAAAATCGAGTAGCGGACTAGATTGCTAACATTAATCATGAAGTTAGCAAATTATACCTTGCATCTTATCTTTCGATGCATTAAATAACCCTCGTGAAGAGGGTTTCTTAATGTCTTCCTTTTCCTTACCCGCGAGCAAATAAGTAAAATGACGAAATTACCCATGTACAAAGTTATAAAACCAAATAATGCGAACTTGTCAATTCCTTCCCTCGTCTTCCTCCTCCCTTTAACTTCCTCTCCGTATTCTCTCCTCTCTCTCCAATAACATGCACTGAGAATGACAACATTGAGTTGAACTAAGGCCATATTAATGGTATGAAATAGTGTGATTAATTCAAAATTTCACCCTGTTGAATGTTAAATTTTGATCATATTGTAGTTTCTTTTGTAATTTCAATACCAATTGCCTCGATAATCTGTAATTTCTTATTTATTTTCACGTATAATCTTCTAATTTTCCGGAAATGGTCTTATTCATGTAATTGATTTTGTAAGGTTTAGGGTTAAGCAGGAGTAATTATTAGGATATAAATAGTTTATTGGGGAAAATTGAATTGTTGGGTTGTGCTTGTTTTTGGAAATTATACAGCATGCTTTCAGAGTTACAGAACATGAGTGAAAAATTATGGTTGTGCATTGTTTTCAAGTGACTATTCTTTAGGGAAACGGCGAAACAGCTTAAGGTGAATGATTTTGGGTTTTATGTCCACATAATGCGAGATTATTTAGGCCTGGTTTTGTTCTCCAGTAAATTCAGCTAAGATAAATTCAGAAAAAGTAAGTTCAAATAAGGGTTGATAAAGGGTACACTAATACAATTTTCAACTAAAATTGGTTTTAATAAGTTTAGATAAGTGAAAATCAGGTGAATAGAACACACCCTTACTCTAATGTGAGATACTTTGGCCGGAAAGTTTGTTGTTTATTGATCACTGAATGATTTTTATTGGATGGTGGTTGTGTGTTGAATTCTTGAACATAGATTAGTTCTTCATCCTGTTGGGCAGGGGGTGGTATAAGGCTTCATAGTGAGTTTCTTAGTGGGTTTCTATATGCTGAAGAGAGCGTGTTTGGAAATTGGAGTATACATTAGTTACTTTATGTCTCATAAAAGAATGGTAAAGTGTAAAGAAGATCAATTCTCTAGTGATGAGTGCGTGTTTGGAAAATGATAGAAACATTAAATACGTTCAATTTGAAAAGTTTTTAATTGCTTTTGGAGATTTATTTTATCAATTTGAGCGCTCAATTTTCTTTGTTTCTACTTAGTTTTTGTGGTTTAGTAATTTATTGATATATGACATAGATATTCAACTATTTTGTTCATACTGGATGTTGAGTGAATTGTGTCATGGACTTGAACTCTTCTCCACCGCTTAAAGATGATGAAGAGTTTTGCAAAAATCATTTGGAGGAAGATGTAGCACCGCAGAATATCAAAGAGTCATCAGTTCAAATCCTTCGGCGGGTATGCTATTATGCTATATATCATCTTAATAGCTATGCTGGATATATGTATTGGTTATCTTCTAAGCATCATCTTCACAGAAGAGTATCGTATCTTGAATTCTTGATCATATGTTTTCTATTTTATTTTTGTATATTTTTTGGAATTGGTTTGAGGAATGAACTGCCACATATTAAATGCTTGTTATGGTAACTATGTGCCTTGAAGTTGATGCATGTTTGAAAGAAAGTTATTCAGCCTTTTCAAATATTGAAAAAGGGTTGTAGGATGTTACAAGCTAATACTATCATATGACATGCTTCACTAAATGTTGTGGAATTCAGGCAGCAGGAACATGTGAAGCTTTATTGATAGGGAATTTCTGCTCTTCCGTGTACCATTGGATAGACTTGATTTAACAATTACATTGTATCCTTGTTAACATGATTTCCAAAAATTTGGTATTACAACATGTGAAATGCTGATACAAGGTGGTTATGGGTACTTATGGCTAGGTGTCTTATAAAAGTAGGGTAAGATCAAATGGTGCCGAAAGAACATATTTACGGCATTTAATGGTGAGGTGGAAATTTTATGAGACAAGTTTCTGATTTGTTATTTTGAAGAATGATCCATACAACAGACGTGAAAAGGAGATATTGTTCAATATAGCTTTCCAGCTTTAGAAATTAATTTCAGGGGCATGGAGGCATAAGTAAAAATTAAAGAGTAGCAACTATATTTGTGTCAATTGTCAATTTGGTTTTTATTGACTATGGATTATGGGGATTGAGGACCCGGTCTTCCTGGCTCTTAATTTCATTGTTATTGCTGTTCGTTTTTTCCAAATATTGGCTGTTTGGAAGGGAAGGCTTTGTAGTGTACACATTGTTTTCCATATGGCTGTCTTTAAGAATCTTCACTGGACAGGTCTGGTTGTTGTATAATCCCTATTTTTGTATGTATCCTGATTCCTGAAGCTTTATACATAGTTTTCAGCTCTTTTATGTTTTGGAACTTAGTGTTCACCTTTCTTTTTATTTCTCTCTTCCTAACAGTAAAAAACTAGAGCTTATAGCTACATAAAAATTACAAAATTCTTTTGTAAACTTTGTCTACTGTTTGATTACTAGTAGCATTTTAATGGCCTTTTGTGCTAAGATAATTCCTCATGCTGCCTCAGGATGTTAACCAGAATTTGAAACATGGATAGATTGTGCTAAATGTAATCTGAATGTTGGATGATGCTGCATTTCTGTTTAATGCCCCTTGCAGGCGGATTGGTTGATTCAGTTCTATTCAATATTATTTAATTTATTTTTTATTATTTTTGTTGGCTTTTCCGATCTCTACTGTAATATGAATTGGTCTTATTATAGGAGCGTGAAGAAAGACGGGAGCGATTGAGAAGAAATCAGATAAACAATAGACCAGTTCTAACTGAGCCCTCTGTCTGTGAAGAAGGGCCTTACTTGAAGAAGTTGAAATATGATGCACACAGGCTTCCCCCTGGTAGATTTCACATTGAGCTTTTAGCGTAGAAATTTGTTTGTATGCATACAAAAAGTACCTGTTTGGATCTATTGATAAAGTTCCAAGTTTTGCAAAATTTTTGAAGACATTTTGTCAAATTGTGTGTCTAGTTGCATGTAGTCGCCATGCAGTTTGCAAAACAGAAATCGAGTGCAGTTTAAGTGAGCCTAGATCTTTTGGCTGGTGGACTTTTCCCTTTATTGTTGGAACTCTTGGAAGTAGTGTTGTTTTTTGAGAACTGTTGCTGGTTCAAAACTTGGATTTTATCATTCAAGACTAGTTATAGATATTTTGGTGGACATTGGGCACAATCCTTTTTTTTTTTTTTTTTTTTTTTTTTTTTTTTTTTTTTTTTTTTAACATTTTCAGCGTGTGTGTTCGGGTCTGTTTGGTTCATGTAGTCTTCTTTTCACTCTTAGTCTTTTATTTTTATTATTTTAACCTCATCTGAACCATGTATTTTGTGTATAGGTTGGCTGGATTGTCCGAATTTTGGTCATGAAATTGGCTTTCTTATTCCTTCGAAAGTTCCTCTTAATGAATCTTTTAATGACTACGTTGTTGATAAGAAACGATATTCCTTTCGGAATGTGTTAAGGTTGCTTGGCCACAAGGTAAGCATTGTAAAACTATATTACATCTTTTTTCTTTTTTTTGACGGGGATGGAAGAGGGTCTTATTTGCATGGTTGGTGAAAAATTTTACCTAGTATGGGCTATTAGTTGCATTGATTTTTGTCTTTATTGAGTAGTAGGCCATGCTCCCTTGAAAATTTTGTACTTTGATGTTTTGAAGCAAAAAAGCACTGGGCACTAAATTTTTTTTTGCTACTGTAAATTACAAAATGTTTTGTCAGCTGTGATTTTGGGTCGTAATTGTTGCATTGGCACTATAATATTTCATAGGGGAAGTTGAAGTGTGATGATATACTCTTGGTAATAATGGATTATTGAAGTGTGTAGAAGCAACAACAGTGCCTGAAATTGAAAGAAGCAAACTAAATCTGCCAAAGGGAAAATTAAAGAGCAACTGCAAAAGAGAGGCATAGTAACAATTGAACCTAAGACCAGGGACATCTCACCAGATAATTTAGTTAAAACTTTGCCATTGATGCAAAGACTTTTAGTACATGCACTTTAGTTGTAGACTTTAAATGTTATTATAAGCTTTGTTGGGGCTAACACCCTTTTGCCCATGTGTAGAAGAAGCTATTACGTTCGGCTAAGATTCTAAAAGATTGAGCTCCTCCTCTGCATCCATCTCATTCTCCGGCATGCAAGGGAAGCCACGTCTCTCAAAGCACCTAGCTTAGATCCGATTCTCTAGCAACAAACATTATATATACCTTATATTAATTCATAGATCACATCCGAAGTAGTAAGAACTATAGAAAAATGAATTTAGTTACTTGATTATTATGAAATTACGGGAAAGGCTGATTACGAAATGAATGATAAGGGAATAACTCACTTTGTTGAGAATAGATAAGGAGAAAGAATTATGTGACACTACTATGAAATATACTTTATTTTATGGTTTGCAAACCCTAATATACGGAAAGCATAAGGTGTGTGTGAGATGGTGGTTTGAGATAAAGTTTAAAGTGATTGGGGATGTGTGCCAAATAGAGATAGAGAAAGGGTTGTGGACTTGGAGGGATTGGGATGGGGGTTATAGAGAAGAGAGTTGAAGAATAGGGTGAGGAGTTTGTCAATAAAGTTATGATGGTTGTAAGGAGGTGCTCTTGACTATGAGAGTTTGGTGTGAGTTGGTGATGACGAATGGCTTTAGTGGAAATGATTGGGAAAAGAGGAAGTCAATTTGAGGTGAGGGCTTGGTGTATGTTGGGACTTGGGATGTTTGATCTGGGATGGCGGTGTTGTGTGAGTTGAGGTGAAGGTAGGGAGTGGACTAGTGGAGTGAAAATTATATCATGCACCAGGGACCATAATCCACATTGTGGTCCCAAATGAACAAATAGTTTAAATATATAAATATTCTGTTAATAAATTACGAACATTTAGCTCATATTATATGAATGTTTACTTTATACAGTTAAAATAATTATGAACATTTAGTTCATATATTATGAACTTATATTTTAGAGACTACTAGCATATAGTATTTTTGTGTTTTTTTTTTTCTTACTTCAACAATGAAAATGAACATATAGCTCAAAATCTATATATAAAGCATATATGTTCACAATCTTTGAATTATATGCTTAATATATTAGAACTATTTTTTCATTTGAGACCACATCCCGGGTGCAAGATATAATAACTGGGAATGATGGCTGTGAGGTGGTGTGGAAGAGAGAAAAGGAGCGTTTAGGAAGTGAAAGAAGTGTTTGAGAAAGGGAGACAGATTGCTGTGATGGAACTTAGATGGAGGGAGTGAAATGAGAGAGTAAGGTCTTATTTTGGAATAGAGTAATCTCAAGGTAGTCTAAGGTTATTTGAAGGAGTTATTAGCTTTTCCATTAATTCTCTAGGCTATGTTGGATTATAATGCTTATTTTAATGCTATTTCTAAAGTTTTCCAAAAAGTTAAATTTGCTTTCTCATACGAGATCTGCTTTCTGATTTTGCAATACAGGTTTTCTATGGGTTTAGAAATAGTTTTCCTGATGGTCTTTGACTACTAGGGGTGAGGCTGTGTACGTTTGGACCTCCCCATGGATTAGTTTGCGGTTATTGTTTTTTTTTTGCTTTGGCAAGCTGGATAGAGAAACCTTTAATCCTTTGTTGGACCTAGTGTATAATTTGGATACCATTGTAAATTGGAATTTAAGTAGGTGGGTTAGCTGAATGTTATCTTCCACAAACGGTTGTGTAAATTGAAGAGTAAAGTAAATGCTAGTACTCTTTGCGAGGTTTGAATTATGAAGGTTATTGCCTTTTTTCAGCTTGGTATGGTGGTTGATTTGACAAATACAGATCGTTATTACCAAATGACTGAGGTTAAGGGTCTTAAGTATTTAAAGGTACTGACTACCTTTTTAGAAATTTCAATCTTTTTTTTTTTCGTTTTCTCAATTAAGTAATATGAAACAGTGTATGAGTGGCTGAATGCATTCTATTCTGTCTATTTATTGTAGATTCGGTGTCAGGGACGTCATGCTAGACCCGATAATGAGTCTGTAAATAAATTTGTCTTTGAGGTAAGCATACTTTCTGTCATTTATACAGTGTAATGCTATCTAATATGTAAATGATGAAATATATTTCCTTATTTTAGATTGTGGTATGAAACATGTTGGATCCGTAAACATGTGATTTGTTGCCAACTTCATTCTACTTTCTCTAAGAGTCATCTTTTTGAACATAACAAAGTGTGGTTGTGAATTTTGATGGTAGAAAGGGTTTTTCTAATGGTTATTGGCAGTGTGAAGCTGCATGGGTAGGTGGGAGTTTGAGACTGCAGTGGTCAATGATTTTGGGTGAATACAAGGGAAGGGGAAAAGGAGGTGGTGTGAATGGAGGTCAGGGTTGTGGTGGTTTGCCTAGGATATGAGGGAGGTGAGTTAAGATATTTATGTAATTAGATTAGTTATTTTAATTATGTTGATTTAATAAGACTTAGATTATAATAAGTAATTCAACTTTCTGGGTTTTCTTTACCTGTTTTTAAAAACAAAATAGAAGTGTTGCAGTTATATTGAAACATTACTTATTAATTAAAGAAAAGTGTCGCAATTTTGCCCATATCCCCTTGCTAACTGTGAATTGAAAAGGTGAATTGTAGTAGCAACTTTTTTTTTTTTTTAAAAATTTTTGGCTTACTTTAACAAAATAGGTAGCAAATTGCAAATCCGTACCAAATATCAGATTAGCGAATTCGGTAATCTTGTAGCTTTTGTGAAAGTTGCATTTGTTATGATGGATGTGTGGGGATACCTTGAGGGATAACAATAGGTTGTAGATATTTGAAGAAGTTAGAGTTACGGATATTGAGGATATGATAAAGCAGAACTGGCTACATTGGTTTGTGCATGTGAGACATTGACTAGAGGATGTATCAGTAACGAAGGTAGAGAATTAGGATAATGGAGATTTTAAAAGGAGACGAGGGAGGTCAAAGATGACTTGGATAGATGAGTTAGCAATGACATAAAGAAAGTGGATTTGCAGGAGCGTGTAGTATTAAACGGAATGGAACGGGAAAAGGAGGATTTTTGTGGATGACTATGACTGATAGATGATTCATGCAGTCGATCCCATTCCTTTTGGTATAAGGCTACGATTTATTGTTTTTGTTTTTGTTTTTGTTGTTGTTGTTATTATTGTTGTTGCACTTAATATGAAATGGATGAAGAAAATATTTCCAAACTTAGCTCTTTTGATTGTTTGCATGTATATGACCTTGACTTAAATGATAGGTTGCACAATTTATATATAATCAAAGTGAGAGGCAGCCCAGAAAATATGTTTTTGTCCATTGTACTCATGGCCACAACCGGACTGGTTACATGATAGTTCACTATCTGATGCGGACCCAGCAAGCCAGTTCGGTGACTGAGATCAGTTATATTTTTGGTTTCAATTGTTCATTGCTTGAATTATGTCTTTTCGATGATACTCTTAAGTTAATTCATCCCTTTGGTTCATTTGGGCAGGCTATACAAACTTTTGCAAAAAGTCGGCCTCCAGGGATCTACAAAGAAGACTATATTAATGCATTATATGATTTTTATCATGAAACTAAACCTGACTTAGTCGTGTGCCCGTCTACCCCAGAGTGGAAGAGGTCCTCTGATGTCATTCAAAATAGTGATGCCCTACCAGATGATGACGATGGTGTTTCAAACGCTTCCATCATGGTAAGAGATCATTTTCCTGTTTTCTCCTTTCATGTACTCAGTAACCTTCTATCAAGATTTGAGGGGGTCCAAAATAGCTTATATGAATTTAAATCTCATTTTCATCTCCCCCTTGGCAAGGCTTAAATCTCCTAGTTGATTTTATAGTTGAAATTTATGATAAATATGAGGCACAGCTAGACAGTATGAAGTTTCAGTTGTAAATTCATGGTTGAGCTTGAGGTCAGACTTGCTGGACGGTAGATTTAGCTCCTGAGTTTTTTCTTAGCCTATGCCTTCGGTTTTTGCATTTTTCTTTGCTGGATAGTAATCATGTCACCTTGCTAATTTGCAAGTTCCCCTTTTCATCCTCATGATAAACATATGTAATAACACTTCAGCAGTATGGAAACTGAAATCCTACGTTACTTTCTGCTGTCTATATGTTTAATTCTGGTTTACTGTTAATTTTTTTTCATAGGTTTTTTAGTAAGTCATATAGATTGCATTATTTTCCGGCAATTCTGCTACAGGGAAAACAGGAGAACACTGTAAGGATGACCAATGATGATGTCTTGGGAGATAAAATACCTGATCAACAAGAATACCACTTGCGAAGGTTTTGCTATGACATGCTTAAACCCCCAGGGGTATGTGTAATTTGTTGAAGTGTCTATTAGTTGATTAAGTTTGGAGGATTTGCCTGTTAATATATATTGGTGTATAATTTTTCTTTTTCCAGTCACAATTTTCAACCCGTTTAATTGTTTGTATCGGTGGCTCAATTTTTTTGCCCCTATTCTCTAAAGGGAAAATATTTTAGCTAGATAGTTTGCTACTTATACACAGTTAACACAAGGTATCTTATTCTTTGTATTCTTCGTGTCGATGTGTTCTCTTGATCTGAATCACCTTTCTTGTAGAATCCTTTCGGTTCATTTTACTGACGTATCCACCTTTCGTGTGCCTTTTGTTGTTCTGCCTTGTTTGTTTGGAAAGTTGAGTTTACTAAAAAGCTGGGGCTTTCAAATGGACTTGTCTGCATTACAACAAATTTGTTGCGGAGACCATGGCCTTATGATTGTTAGTCTTTGGCTGTTTACTTTGTTCTTGTGTAGTCCCTCTGTTTCTCTTGTTTTTTTAAAACGGTTCATATGCGATCTGGACAGAACTATCATTTCCTTTATACTTGGCAGACCTGTGTTGGCAGAATTTGCTTGTAAAATCTGTATTAATATCACTTTCTCTTATATTATTCCCTTTTTTTAGGGAGAGATCTATTTCTTCTAGTGTTTAATATGTTATTGGTAGCTGTCCTAGCTGAATCTGTTCCTTACTGCTCGTGTTCATGGTTCATCTGTAGATTTATAAGTTTTGGACTTACTTTTCTTCTGGTCCATGCATTTCTTTGTATGATATACGTAGTAGTTTGTTTTCCTTTTTTCCTTCACGCATAAAAGGCTTTCAGTTACATTTTCACTTGTTCTGTTGTCTTGTTATCAGTGGTATTCCATTTAGCTGTCTCTTTTAGAATTCTCTTAATTATCTTCTGACGAATTTTCCTAACATATTCTCTGCTGATATATTCTTTAATCTTCTATTGATACTACTAACTTTTTCTGAATAGACAAAGGGAACTAATGATTTTTGTCACAGGCAAATTCCCAATTTCCGGGGTCACATCCAGTGTCTCTAGACAGGTCCACATTCGTTGCACATCTTGTTATACAATAAAGTTTCCTTTTTTTTTTAGTTGATATAGAAAGTTAAGGTGTAATTGTACTATTGCCAATTTTGATCGTGCTAATAAATTTTAGCACACGTGCAAACTTGTTGGATTTGCGGCCTTTTTGTTTTTAGTGATGAGCTTAGAGCCTTATAGTGACTATAATGTGCTACAGACCTGACAACCTCCTTCTAATAAGTTTCCATGCATCAGAGATTTCTTATACATAACTGAGCTCTTTGAACAAGGGCCTTGCAATATTTCTTGATATAGATTTAGTGTTTGGTTTTCTCAATAGGTCGATTGACCACATTATCAAGGAAGGATAATGTGGCTTGAACTTTGAATTATGTTATGAGAGCAATTCATTGTAGATCCCACTATTTGGACCAGAGATTTCACCAGTACGGAGATTTTTCTGGTTGTAATTCATCTCCAAATAGTAATTGTTTTATCTAGAAAAGAATCCAGAGATATTTGGGACTTGGCAAATTTGGGACCATGGAATTTGATATGACGAGTTTAAGGGTTTTAGGGAGTCATGAGTTAATAAAGTAGACTTGCAGTGGATCACCCTGCCACTAATCTTCAGAGTCTGGTCCTGGCATTAAATTCAAACATTTGTGGGATGAATATTTGGCCATTGTTTGTGGTAGTTATCAACATATGCAGGTCCTTTTATAAGCCTTTCATAAATTCAATTTTGTTTTATATTAAGTAAACAAAATTTCTCATTCTAATGTTTGCATTTCCTAGTGTTGTTTAATTGATGAAAATTTACAATTTTCATTAGACATGAAACCTGAGAACAGCTTTGAAGTTCAATTCTCTTAGGTGATGTGAAGTAACACTTGATATGCTGCTTAATAATCATGAAGAGAGCTGTAGAGGCATCTAAAAGGAACATTAATTATAAAAAGGGGAAACTATCTGTCTATAATATATGGGAATAAATAATGCATAATTTGCTGTTTGCGTGGATGCCAATTGAACTATCTGTCTAATGGGTCCATTTGTATACTGGGATTCACTTCTGGTAGAATGCTGTAGTGCATTCTTTTTTGCAGGATCAAAATATTTATTAACTACTTGGTGATATTCATATCTTTATCCATTCATTGATCAACAAAACCTTGTAAAGAAACTCAAGGAAGACTTTAATGATAACCATCAAATCCTTCTTCCTGAAAATAGCTATAAAATGGACTGGTCTTACTTTTAAAGTTTTTTTATTTCCAGTTGAAGTTTTGAAGCATCTTATTGCCATGTTATGTTGCAAAAACATAAGCTTATAATATAGCAACAATTCTAAGTTGGTTGCTTCTTATCAATTTTGTGTATAGGGTCAAGTTACAACTGCTGAGGCAGCGTTACTACTATGCTACATGGAAAGCTGATGGCACGAGATACATGATGCTCCTTTCTCCTGATGGGTGCTACCCAATTGATAGAAGGTTTAAATTTAGGAGAATGCAGATGAGACTCCCTTGCAGAAGTAGGACTAAAGTATGTGATTGAACCATGGAGAACTTTGGACATATTAGAAACCTTGACCTTATGGCTAAATATAATTTAACTTGACCACTGTTTTATCCACAATCTTATATTTACGTACTCACCCAAAAAATACATTAGGGGCCAGGAATCCTTGATAAATAACTTTATATTCAATGGATATCTTAAATGATGAAATGGCATTCATTATGATCTTAAATTGCTTTGCCATATCATTTAGCTGATTTCTTTTTCCCCTTTATGCAAGTCTGAATTTCATCAGTATACTTTGCTTGACGGTGAAATGATCATTGATTCCGTAAGCTCTCAAAAGCAAGAGAGAAGATACCTGATATATGACTTGATTGCACTCAATGGTGTGTCTATCATAGAGGTTAGATCTCTAATGACACTTGTCACAAGTTAGCTATGTTTTACCCTCTTGCCTGTTGATTTTTTTTTTTTTTATTGTTATCTACTGTGATAATTTTTTCGGTAGTAAAACTAAGAGAGACATTTACGGCGGTATCTTTAATTAGATTTGATGACTTCTCCATTTTAGTTTTGCTGCACCAACTCTACCAAGCTTGAATTTTATTTTTATTTTGGGTATCTTCATGACAGGTTACAATGAAAGGATTATGTTAGATTCTTGTCCCTTGTAGTATGTGGGTAGTTCAATATACAAATGAATAAAGTCTAATTTTTCAGCTTTTTGCTTAATTCATTTGTCCATTGAGATTATTTTCTACTACAAAGCTAAATAAACAACTGTGGACAATTTTTTTAACAACAAAGATGAATTACATATATAATGTTTAGTGCAACAAAAATGAGGCGTGCCTTCAGCTTTAATCTGTTCCCTTCTGGTTGTTGATTACACAATTTTTACTCCTGCATGCAACATATCATTCTTATCTGATTATTTAATAATTACACAGCCATCCCAACCCCCCTCCCCCCTCCTCCCTCCCTCTCAAAAATTGGGACAATTCTCTACATTTTGTTTAGGGTGGTAAATTATAAAAGAGTGCCAATTGTTGATCTAAGATTTTGAATACTTTTATATGAATTTTTATTTGTAAATCTGTGATTGCAAGTTCCTTCCATGGTTCTGATCAGTGTATATTTGCAGCGACCCTTCTCTGAGCGTTGGATGATGATTGAGAAAGAGATAATTGAACCCCGGAATCAAGATCGGAAACGGATGTTAGAATCACATTCCAAACCTTCTTACAGATATGACTTAGAGCCGTTTAGGGTATGTAGCTAAGTCCACTTTCTAGATACTGCTGTCTGATGATATAGTACTTTGTATATTATTATTAGAAATTTTTGACAAGTACCTTTGGACATTTGGAATTTTATGTTTTAAAATTTCATATTACAACCTAGGAAGTTTTTGTGACCTTTATTTTGCCTTTTCTGTATTTAATGGTACCTGATCAAATGTTTCCCAGGTTAGGAGGAAGGACTTTTGGTTGCTGTCAACTGTTGGAAAGCTTTTGAACGAATTCATTCCTAATCTTTCACATGAAGCTGATGGTCTTATATTTCAGGTGCTTGTAGCTTGTTGATAGTAATTTTAAACTGTCACAACTGTTCCCTGTATTGCCTAACTTCTGTCATTAGATTGGTTTCTACTGCATACCAAAAGAGTATCTCACTAGGGATTTTGAATGTTCTATAATAATGATATGTTAACGTCTCATCCCTTCTAGAATAAATAATATCTAAGTATTTGTGTATGAACAAATCAATACAGAGGGGAAGAAGGAAGTGCAGTCTTCTAAATAACAGAGTTCTAGTTTTTCACTTCTAATTCAACATTAACATTACTTTCCACAAAGAATTGCTGTTAGTTATCTGATCTCTTTATAAAAATCACAAATTTACTGTTCTTATTATCATATGCCCCTTCTTTCTTCTGGAGCTTATAAATGTTAGGATTCAAGTGCTCCACACTGTTATTAGGACAGCCAGCACACCATGATCACACTATTAATCTGGTCCCATTACACTTGTGAGGGAAACTTGTTAAAGAAGCTGATACAAGAATACTCAAGAGTTCAGCTAGCTGACCCAACTCCTTAAGCATATTTAACTTGCCAGAATTCTGAAGGCACATGATATTCACAAGGAAAATAAGCTTATTACGTTGGTCAATTATTTAGATAATTATTTGTGTTAAGCTTCACACAAAGGCCTTAAATATATTGGAACCTAGGTATAACCTGTCAATGGAACATGTGTCAGTGACCAATAAGCAGAATAACAACTTTGGTAGTAGCAGATATCTGGTTTCTATATGGACTTTGCATCTCAGCTGCATATGATTCACTGTATCTTGGAAATTCTAAATTGTCGTCAAGAGTTCTTTGTTAAATTTTGATCTAAATTAATTCAAACATTCAATCTGGATTTGACCTTCCGTCTCATGTTGGATGGTGCTTCCTGCTTTTTACAAGGCATTAAAATTTCTAGTACTCTTTTTATGGAAGGTTTAACCACGCACTCTGTTGTTTTTTTTTACTCAACTAGGGTTGGGATGATCCCTACATTCCGAAAACGCATGAAGGCCTCCTAAAGTGGAAATTCCCTGAAATGAACTCAGTTGATTTTCTGTTTGAGGTGTTTCCCTTATAATCGAGTTTCATAATGTGTATCTTCTCAATTAAATATTTCAAATTAGTCTGTGGCATATACAAAGGTATTAATCCTTTTTGTTGACACATTGCAGATCGGAGAATTTGGTTCTGAGGATCTTTATTTGTATGACAAGGGAAAGAAGCGATTGATGGAAGGCAATAGGGTTGCTTTTTCTGGTGAATACTTTCTCTCTTTATTGTTTTCTTTTTTCAGCTTCCCTCTTTTCTGATTTTCTTCACCTATACAATTTATATCATCAGAATTTTGTTTTGTGTAAAATGCCTAGTGGTTGAAGCTGTGGTTGGATTGTAATAAGGCTAATGGGGTGGATGAGTATGGAATTGTGTGGCTTTTTTAGCTTCTTTGCTGTCTGGTGAATGGTGCTTTTCCTATTTGTTTTGTTTTATTAAGGAAGATGCATCTTATTCTTGTGTGCAATGAGGAATTTCACCTGTCCTCTGTTTTCTATGTATTCCTTTTGTGTTTTTTTCCTCTCAATAATTAAAATAATCTCAAAACTTCTACCTCGAGCACACACAATGGAGCCGTTTTCTTTAAAAAAAAAAAAACCACAAAAAAAAAAAAAAAAAAATCAATATGTGGGATTCAATTTGTAATTTTTACTTGCTAATAATAAACCTTCTTAGTTACTAAAAACTTTATTCACTCTTTTGCATTTTATCTGTCTTGCTATGAGCGTTCTAGTTTCTGTTTTAATATATCTCAAAATAAAGTGAACACGTTTGTAAATGGCGGTCACAGTTGGGTTACTAGAGCAAATTATATCGGTACTTAGGATTATTGGCAACCTAATCAATATTATTATTGTTTTGGTCTATCTGTATCAGGCCACTGGCGTATGTTTAAACTCTCATATGCCCACTCCTATATCCTAATGCTTGTTCAATATTAATACCTTACAGATGGTTCTTATTCTTCTTTGTATTCTGGTAAGATTATTGAGTGCTCTTGGGATACAAGGCAAAATGTGTGGCTCTACATGCGAACCAGGACTGATAAGTTAACTCCAAACGAATTCAGTACCTACAAGAAGGTTTACCCTTGATGATTGACTTCTTCCTCAATCGTAAATTCGTAATTATGTAATGGTTGATATGTTCTTCTTTCCAAAATAGCATGTCAAGAGTTATGATCGTTACTGCATTCTGCAGGTTATGAGGAGCATAGATGACAACATTACCCAGGATGTATTATTGAATGAGATAGGTGAGATCATTCGCTTGCCTATGTATGCTAATCGGATTAAGAATGATACTATAGCTCAGAAGAAAGCGAAAGTACGACAGCAAGGAAAGATCTAAGGTGAAGTGGACTATCTCTGCCGCAATTCATGTCAGTTAGGGCTTGCTGCTTGGGGCTCTTGCCTGTGTATATAGACTTTTGGTAATGAATATATCAATTATATTCTTAGAAATTTTCTGAATCTTTATAGGTAGAAAATTAAATGATAAGCATGTTGGATGTGTATATTTTCATAGGCTTTCTGTTTCGTTTCAGATTCTTTAAACACAGTATAATCTTAGTTGGGCTTTAAGACTACCAAACTTTGTACTGTAAGATCCCTGAAGAGCTTAAGCAGCTGAATGGGTTAATCGATGTTTATATGCATGGTTGATATTTTCATGGATCAATCCATTCCTAGACACAATAATAATCATAGTAACATGTTATGCCACGGACCAACCCGTCCAAATATCATGTTTAAGCGGAGAAAATTTATTATAGTATGATTAATTAATATAGTGCTACATATAAGTATATAACTCGATGAATCATTATGAGTTTAAGTCGGTTCATTATGAGTTTTGGGTAATCCAATTCTCTCTTTGTCAAATACTTTCTATGTCAATTTCTTTGATCCTTTTTTTGTTTGCGCTATATTCTTTTCTCTGATATTTTTTTTTTATTTTTTTTTGTTTGGAGGAAATTCTTTTCTCTAAGATTGGTCTATGCCTCTATTACCTTATCTAATACTTCCTCTGTCTCTTTTTGTTTACCCTAATTTCCTTTTTATGCCGTCTCTTAGACATTGCTTCATACTGTTAACGTACATAGGGACATCACTTTATTCTCACAAAAATACTTTAGATCCCACCACCTTTTCTCTCTCATCAATTTCACTCAACCAAAATTTAAAGTGAAATACTTTTATGGGGCAAACAATTAGGAACGGAGGCCGAGGGAGTACAAAATGAAACTTTCTGCTTGTAATCGAACTTGCTCTTTTCCCTTCCCTTGTTTGCCGGAATAACAACCTGTTGTGCACAATTTTGCCTCACTTCTTAATAAAGTGAAGTTTGCTCAAAGGAGCGGAGATAGTATATGACAATTTACGACTGTACATATGCAAGTCTGTCATTTCACACGTTATAACTTGTAAGGATATAGAGGCAAACAACTGAGGCAGGGCAAAAGGGCCCAAAACCTAGCAAATGAAGATAGTCCCAAAGTATATGATTGTTTTAGAGGAGTAAAGAGTTACAGCTGTGTGAACAAGTATAAGACTATAAGCCAAGGGCGGATCTAGCGTGGGTTCATTGAACCCACTGATTTTTTGAAAAAAATTGAAAGTTTTATTTTTTTTTTTATTTTTTTTTATTTTTTTAAATTAAACAAAAATTTTATAACGGTTAAATAGAATATTTGTTTGTTAAATGACAAGATGTAAGGGTGCAGCTCAGTGGTATTTTTTACCTGACATCTTTATGTTAATTTCCAAGACATTTAAACAGTTTTCCCCAATTCTCAAACCCTAACTCCCCTAAGACGGTTGACGGCAGACGACCCTGGACTATGGATAGTGGTGAGCTTGCGCCCTTTCCTTTAATAACTTGCCGTTTTTCACATTTTGGGTCTTTGTCTTGCTGTTGCTGAGTTGTTGTTGTAGACTTGTAGTGTTGTGTGTTCATCTGTTGTGTACTTGCTGTTGTAATGTGTTGTTGTATTCCACAATCGTCGATCGAATTGCTGAAATTTCGAGTATTCAAGTAATCGAAGTGTTGAAATTTCGATTGTGGAATACTCGAAATCTCGAATGCGGAATGTCTATTGTCGATTGTACTTGAAATGTTGAATGTCTGTTGATTGTTGAGTTGCTATTGTTTGTTGAGTGTTGAATAGTTGATTGTTGTCTTGTTGAAGACTTGAAGTGTGTCCGCTGATTGTTGAGTACTTGAGTTGCTATTGTCTGTTTATCATACTTGAATAGTTGAATGTCGAATACAATTTTACACAAATAACTCGTTAATTATTGGATTTGATTTCCTCATGTCTTGATGTCTATTATTTGAGTCTTACACAAATAACTCAATTTATCATTGAAATAACTCAATTTATCATTGGAGTTTTACACAAATAACTCAGTTTATTATACTTGAGTTGTTGTCTACTTGTCTATTTATACAGTTGATTACTTGAATGTCGAATACAGTCCAATACAGTTAATTACTGAATAATTAATTATTATATTTTTATTCATTGGTTAATTACGATTCTGAACCCACACTTCGGGATTCCTGGAGACGCCACTGGATCCGTCTATGTATATTTTGTAGAATAAGGAATAATAGGCTTATGGTGAATTCTATTGATTATGCATAAAAAAAAAAGAGTTATTCCTTTTGGTGGGTATAGTAAATTTCGTTAGTTTAGGAATAATAGGCTTATAGTCTAATATATTTACTTGCTTTAAGCTCTTTTAAAAAAAATATTTTCTTTAAAAAACACAATTTACTTGGTTTTACAGAATTTGTATAGTAAGTACTCGTATTAAATTGGATGTTTTAAAATGAAGTGAAAAGAGGCAGAGAAATCTGTGAGGTCCAAATTCTATTAGCCCAACCTTTAAAAGCCAAACAATAATTTGGGTCTTTCGTGTAAAATTACGATTAGATCCGATTTTGCAATATAATAAAACAAGTAGAATTTAAAGGTCACTTAAATACCTTACACTTGTACTGTATTAACTCATAATTTTCAAAAAAAAAAAAAATATATTAATTATAATAGCATGCATTTTCTTAAAATTTAAATAATAAAAAAAAAATCCATTATAGAGCCTTCTTTCACATAATTTCTAAAAATTAAAATATGGAGTACAATACTAAATTCTTCTTTAACATGATTTCATAGCAAATATCTCATCTAACATAATTTCATTACTGAGGCTTTCTTCACCATTATACTTTTTGTACAACTGTACACCAAACCCAATAATTAACAATCAACCGCAATTACAATAGAAAATACTACTATTTATGAGAGATTACTTGCTTTCTTGTATGCCAACAATGAAGAATTATCGAAAAAAACTAATAACCGTTAGTGGCAATAACGCATCCAAAATAGTGAACCCCTCCTCCCCAAAATCCCACCCTGAAACTGAAACCTCACCCACCCCAAAACCCATGGCCTTATCTTTGAATCGAACGCCACCAGCACCCCAGCCCCACCCCACTGGACCGACCCCCACCTCCATTGCTAAACCTGCGTAATCTCACCCCTAACCCCCTCTCGATCTTTTCCACCCTCCCTAACGCCGGCCGACCCTTTTCCCTAACGCCAGCGAAGGCCGAGATCAATCACACCGAAACCAACCCCTAACCCACTTCGGAATACCACCATAGTTACCCCAAACCCACCCCCTAATCACCGAAACCAACCCCTAACCACCGAAAACCCACCCCAAATTTCTATTCAACCAACCTGAAACCCGTAAAAAAAAAAAGAGAGATGGGCGACGAGAGGCAGCGGCAGTGGGAGGGAATTGAAGAAAGAGAAAGAGATCGGCTGCGGTGGTCGGAATTAATGGAGGGAAGGAGGAAGGAAAGGGAAAGGGAAAAGGGATCAGGAGGAAAGAAGAAAGAAAGAAAGAAAAAAAAAAAAACTTGACCAATGATAAAATGACAAGTGGCATTTTACCTGATATAACAGGTTGGGTGACCTGTTTGGTCCATTTTGGAAGAAAAAAATGCAAACTTCTGTCCAAAATGGGAAGATTTAAAGGTCAGTCCATTATTGGAGAATCGAGCAAAGGTTTGTCCACTCATGTTAAAAATTCCTATAATATATATCTAGTTTAACATAATTTGTTAATTTATGAATGATTTTAATATAATTTTTTTTTTTTTTTATTATGTTGTTTGAATTTCACTTATAAACAAATGTTAGATTCACTTATAAAACAACCTCATAGATATCATTATGTAGTAGGTTAGTATGTTAAAAGCCTAAAAATACACCAATTCAATGTAACTAGAGGCTTCAAAATAATAATTATAAAATCTGAAAATTTACTCTTAAAACTAATCTTCAAAATTCAATACTTTATGCTCACAAAATAGCCCCAACAATTATTTGTAGAAACTAGAATCATGAAAAGATGAAATTACTACAAGTAAAAACCCAAAATTAAGACTTTAGCAAATTTGAAAATTAATTTATAATCAAGATAATTGAATTTAAACATAATTTACACATAATATGATTAAGAGATTTCACCAATACGTTTTTAAGCCCTAAAACCATGAAAATCAAGTTTGAAACCCTAATTTTATTAACTAAATAAATCTGAAATTTTAATACATAATTTAAACATGATGAAAATTGTAAATTTATAATCTTTTAATTCATATGCATAATCAAATCACAATAATTAATAATCAAGGAATAATTCCTATAAAGATTGAAGCTTTAAAGGAATTTAAACAAGAATAGAGAGAAAGATAGAAGAGGAGGGGAAGTAGAGGAAACTGACTGACTGTGCGGCGGTTCGGGGCAGCAGCAAGGGTCGCTGGTGGTGGTGGTGTGTCGGCAGCAGTGGTGGTGTACAGGGCAGCGAGGGTTTTTTTTTTTTTTTTTTTTTTTTTTTTTTTTTTTTTTTAATAGTGAGAAGTAAGAGGGGAAAGCAGTGAGGAGGGGGAAGCTTGAGGTTTTACGTGAAATTAGAGGGGAAATAAGGGTCTTGGGTTTCCTAGTTCTAATAAAACTAGGATTGTTATTTGAACTTAAAGTGAGTGGGTTTTAGAAAAAAAATAGGCTTAGTAATTAATGGGTTGGACTTGCATAATAATTCATGAGTAAAATATGGGTAGTGAAATAATTTTATTAACTTTATAAACATTAAATTTATTTACTTAAATCATAGTAAAATAAATTATGTAAATAGATAATCATAATTAAATATGCACATAAAAATGTTAAAATATAATTTTAAATTTCACAAAATTACGGGGATTACAAAATTTAATAGTAACAAACCAAATGCATAATTAAAGGTCCATTTTCATAGTTTTATCCTAATTCCTAACATTAAAGGGTT